GTCCTTTCTGGGACGAGAGCTGTCGCTCACGTTGGATTAATCACTTTGCTTAACTAATTACTATTTTGACCCTTAAAGGAGGAGCTTGACAGCTTTGGAACTGCGTCGATGCAAACACAGCATGGACGTCTGAGAGTAAGAAAGAGTAAGAAAGACGTAAGAGCACAGTACAGTGCTGAGTAGAAGTTTACATACACTATCAATTTTGATTTGTGTCCTGGGTTTGCACCCATTAATTTTATCCTTGAAACTATTTTGGTTGTTTGTTGTTATTTTTTATTGTGTGTGTGTGTACCTGAATTTTAAATGTTGGAGCTTTACATGTAAGGTGTTGCTGTACATGTATTTATGGCTTACTTTGCCCTGTAGATGACATGATTACTGTTAGAAAAAGGTTTTAATTTGTAATATTGTGTAGCAATACAATGGATGTTTTTGCAAATGCATTCAAAAATGTGTTTAAAAAAACACCCAAGCAGCATATTTTTATTTTAATTTACTACATTCGCTTTCTGACCTGTTTCCTTTTACAAATGTTGCCACTAGAAAGTGTTTTGTTTTTGTTAGACACTGTGATAAGTATGTTGCACACCCTTTCACATGTGGTATCTTGATGGAAATCTCTAGTTTGCTGTTCACACACATATACACACTTTACACCTCCAGATTTTGAAAGTTGTCAGCAGAGCAAAACAGTGTTAAGTTTCAGCACCCTGGACAGTTCCTCCTCCGAGACTCGCTGGATCTTCAAGCCAGAGACCCTGACATTGCCTCCTCACTTTGAATTTCTCTGGAGGACACCAAGACTGAGTCCAGAGCTGAGACTTACCACTTTCACATTATGACCGCGAGCATGTGTGATGGACATGTGTGCCCCAACGTTTCTATGGAGTTGCCCAGCCCCTTCCCCCACATTCCCATATCATCCACCCAGAGCCATTCTATCTGTATGGAAATTTGGGTTCCACAGCTGGAATCCAGAAAAGCACTGTCATCTACTAATAGTTATTATCGCTTTGGCCTGCTCTGTTCAAGAAAAAAAAAGGAAAAGCCCTTACAATACAAGCGCATCACATCTTTATGGTAATGCCCTACAATATAGCCCCAAGCTATGGTGCACAGACCTTTGTTATCATTACGATAATTCCCATTCTCACTTGACTCCTCATTACACTTTTGAAAACCGCTTGGGGTTGGGATGTAGACAAATTTCTGCATTGGCTTTTTATTGCAACACCGTAAACACTACATGTAACCCTCACCCCCTTATATAAAAAGATTAATAACAATAAAAAAAAAAAGTTTAAGAGCTGCTTTTAGGAATGAATAATTTCTTAAAAACAGATTATATGTCTACTTGATCATATTTATACAAAAAACTGTTTAAGATAGTAATTACCACATTTTATTACATTAAACCATCAGACCTCAGTGCCTTGCTCACATTTAATGCAGCAGCTCAACACAAAGTGGTGCAGAATTTCTAAACGAAAGAAGACTAATACATCGCTTTCACACTTTCTTTAAAACTAACAACCTAAATTTTGTGGTGAATTGTTTAATTGCCCCCTTTTACTCCAATATAATTTCACCTCAGTAATAAATACAGCTATTCTGTGAAGGCCTCAGCGGTGTGTTGGTTGAACAAACAGCAACATGGAGACAAATGAAATAGACTGGTTGTTAAAAATAGATTTGAAAAAGTTTTAAGACATTAACAAAACTTTTAAAATTTTACAGACCTCTGTAGAAAAGGGAAAGTGTGCCTTACAACTGCAAAACAAGACGCGGCTATCCAGCCAAATTAGCACGGAGGGGGTAGCATTATGCTGTGGGATTAAGTAGTAGGGACAGTAGTAAGACAGTAGTAATAAATACAGGTAAATACTGTAAGGAAATCAGTGTTAAGGCTGCAGGGAATCAGAGAATTTCTGAATAGTAACATTACAGCACGGCAGCACCAATCATAAACCCAGAGCTACTAAGTAAACAAAGGTCAGAGCTTATTCCAAAAATTAAGGAGCATAAACGTTGATGTCTACATGTGGTAAACCAGTAGAAACACATTTTAAAGGGCCTTTTAAGGTAGTTCCAGGTTTATGGATTATTTTTGCAAGGTTTTGTATTGGTTTCTTTGTTTAGCAAAGAGGTGATCATCTCTCCTGGGTATCACACTTCATTCTCTGACTTATTTAAACTCTTTGTCAGTGAAAGTCTTTCAAACATACCAGAAGATATTGAATTAAGGATAATCTAAGTGGCTAAAAACCTTGTAAGTGTTGCAAAATTATTTCTTTTCAGTAATGGATGAGATGATGCAAAGGAGGTCATCTTTGTCAAACCAAAAGGCTGTTGATTACCTCCAGATTACTGCCTTGAAGAGCTTTGGTTCAGCTCTACATTACAAGGAAAGCTCAGAGAGACACAGCAGCATGTGTCCTTGCTCCTCTCCATGAATACCCACACAAGGCCCCTGGATAACACACACACACTCACACACAGATAGCAATAATTGCAGAGTGATTGGCACAGCTTGTCCTGTGCAGCCTGTGTCCCACTCTTGAAGGCTCTCCTTGGAGCAGCGTCATTGTCACGCAGCCTTTTAGCACCTTTGTTCCTTCTTTCCCCCAGGACCTCACAGCTCACCATTGGCAGATGAGTCCCTCCCTGTGACAAAAGGGTTCCTGTGCACAGTCTCATTTGATGCAGTGATGAACCCCACCCCATCCCTCTCCCACTTTGATTCTCTTTCCCATTCTCAAACACACACACACACATACTATGCCACTACACTACTCCGCCTTGGAGGATAAAATGTTCTGTTTAGCAGGGCAGGATGTGGGGGTCAAGACCCAGTGGTGGGCTTTTAGGAGACAAATAAACATCCAAGCAGGAAAGAGCTTATGTCTTGTTTACGCATTAGCGACCATTTAGCAAGTCTTACTGTATTCTCAACACCTCTCCTGTGGCCTCTCAAACAGCTGATCTTTCTCTTCCGATTCTGCTCTAACAATGTGGAGTCACCTGTGCAATCCATCCCTACTTTCGCTCAGCCAAAAGTGAAACATCTTGCATCTTGACTACACAAGAGAGTAAATAGTAAAAAAATATTGAGAATAATTAGCCTGCGGCACATTTTTTCTTTAAAAAAAAAATCTGTCTTACTATCAATGTCACGCCCAATCAGGAAAACACTCACAAACTGCATCATTCTAACATCACCTAATGAGGTGATGACCAACCACTTGTTATAATTGCTTCAGTCTCCTTTTAATTTTCAAGCTTATTAATCATATGTAGAGTTATTTAAGAATGCATAAATTAATCTTGAATTAAAAGCCTATCAAAGACTCAAAACAATTAAAGAGCAAGGTAAGATTTCCCCAGGGCTGCCACTTTTATTTTAATAGAGTGTTCAGGTGATTATCATACTTTGATGCAGCGCTGTGATTAATGCAGAGACACTTTTAAATGAGCTGTTCTGCCTTACAGAGAGCTGGAATCAGCTTGAACCTAACGCTGACCTCAATAATTTTTTATTTTATCTGTGTTTTTTTTTGTTTTTTTATCTATCTTTATATTTATGTTTGGAGCAGTTTGATATTATAAGTGAATATTATTTCCTGAGGCAAGAGAATGTCAGATTTGTAGTCTTTAAAAATATGAGCAAAATTTGAAAATAAATACTGAAGTGGATGTTATTAAGACTTTTGAAATGTTTATGTAGATTTATTTGAATGCTTGAAAGAGGATTTAGGATCCTTGAACTTTATAAAGATTGGTTTACTGAAAACCCTCAGTTTTTATGATCCACTGATGACCGTCACTGATACTCAACAATAGGCTACAGCAATTAAAATTGTCTTTATTTCCACCATTTTTACAAGGCCTTGTATTTTAACTCAATGTTTTTATATCTGGCATTTTAAAATCCAATTATATCCAAAAGCAAATTAGATCAGTAGATAAAATATTTAGATCATATTTTTAAGAAAAAAATGATGTTGCTGATGACAATTCGAGTTAAAATAAGATGTAAAAAATATGTAAATAATTAAACAAGCTTCACGAAACCTATTCCACATAAATGTTCTGACCGTTTATTGTAATTATTAGGTGATTCACAACCTGCATATCTATCTATCTAGAATAAAAATATAATAATTGCATATATATATATATATATATATATATATATATATATATATATATATATATATGAATGTATGTATATGTGCTATAATAATTAGAATAATAATAATATGTATTATTATTATTATTATTATTATTATTATTATTATTATTATTATTATTATTATTATCATCAATGACACTCTTTATTGTTGTGTGCAGGTCTGCCCCGCTGAAGTCTCTGAGGCCAAGCAGAACGTGTCATCCTGTTACCTTCATCAATATTAAATCAGCGCCTGTCTCAGAGCGAGGGACATGTGAAAATGATTAACCCAAACCTTTTATTGACATTCAGAAACTTTAAATGCCGGTCGCTTATGGAGCATTGTGTCTGATTCCTTTATTTGAGCTGAAGGGGGAAGAAAAAAAAAAAACACTGAGCGCAGTTCACACAGAGGGACCCCCGGAGCAGCTGCTTAACATTGTTGTCCGGGCACGTGTGGGTTGTAAACGGTGAATACGTGGGAACCAAGCACGTGATAGAGGCCTGCACTGGGCATTTATCCACGCGCATGACAATGTGTCAGAGGGAGGTCTGTTATATCAATGAATCCCAACGCAGCCCCCGTTTATTTTGCATTAAAAAAATACATCCGGCATAAGTGCATAAAGATCATGTGGCTCATAATGCTTAGAATAAAGAGCTTACTTTGTTTACTTTTTTCTGAGTTCATCACAGACCTTCAGGCTCACACCAAATCATCTCCATTGGTCATAAATCCATATTTAATGCAGGCTTCCCGCCCTAAGTTTTGCTGTCATTGCTTTCGTTGTCCTATTGTGTGTGTGGGAGTGTGTTGTGTGTGGGTGTGTGTGTGTTTGGGGGGTGGGGGGTTGTACTACAGTCTGCGTGCCATGTGGACACCGCTTCTGCTGGTGGCGCAACATAAACCGTCCGCGTACAGAGACCGCGCAGCAGAGAGAGACGAGACGTCAGCGAGCAGGAGGGAGACGTCCTATCAGCGAACATATTTGGACCCTCCAGGATAAACTTATCATTATTTCTCCGGCATTCATTCGATCACATTTACTCGATTTCGGAGGACGTCCGTGCAGGAACCTTAAAGGTGAGGCAGAATTTTAAGCAGTGATGCAACTTGGGTTCTACATTTCTAAAGCTGCCACGGTCTTTTTCATCCTAGTGTTTGCAGGAATGCTCAATACTGATTGTAAATATTATTATTTTTTTTTTTTTATGTGGCAAATGATTACATTTGCGTTAAACTTGTGGATAATATATATATACACACTTTTGGCGTTAAAATTTTACCTAAATTAGTTCTTAGAATAATAAAGTCCAGATTAAAACTCCATGGGAAGGTTTTTTATCGCGTTTTAAGAAGGATCTGTCCAAATTAAATGTCCTGTTTCTAGCCTTCAGGTCTCCAAGGATGGACTCCATACCTGCGGGACGAGACTCCAGCTCCTCACCTAACTCCAAACAAGAACTTCCCTACCCGAGCACCAGCTTGAAACCCAATCAAGTTGGAGAAACGGTTCTGTACGGAATACCCATCGTGTCTTTGGTGATAGATGGCCAGGAGAGACTCTGCCTTGCTCAAATATCAAACACATTGTTAAAGAATTACAGCTATAACGAGATCCATAACCGGCGCGTGGCGCTGGGCATCACCTGCGTCCAGTGCACCCCTGTACAGCTGGAGATCCTGCGGAGAGCCGGAGCGATGCCAATCTCCTCCAGGCGCTGCGGGATGATCACCAAACGCGAAGCAGAAAGACTTTGTAAGTCATTTCTAGGAGCGCACTCACCCCCTAAACTTCCTGAAAATTTCGCCTTCGATGTCTCCCACGAGTGCGCCTGGGGGAGCCGTGGAAACTTCATTCCTGCCAGATACAACAGCTCCAGAGCAAAATGCATCAAGTGCTCCTACTGCAACATGTATTTCTCCCCAAATAAATTTATATTTCACTCCCATCGCACACCGGAGTCCAAGTACACGCAGCCGGATGCGGCTAATTTTAATTCCTGGAGGCGACATCTCAAACTGACGGATAAAAACAGTCCCATGGAGATCATGCATGCGTGGGAAGATGTGAAGGCCATGTTCAATGGGGGCAGTCGCAAGAGGACGCTTCCGGGGAATGGATCCGGGTCCAGCTCTCCTCTAAAATTGCAGGGACCCAACCGCTCCCAAGAGTCACCCGAAATCCCTGCAAAAATCCTGGGCTGTGAAGACACCCGGGGGGCTATCAGCAGCGCCCGCAGCTACCCGGTCATTCCGGTTCCCAGTAAAGGCTTTGGGATGCTGCAGAAAATACCACCGCCACTCTTCCCTCATCCATATGGCTTCCCAGCTTTCGGTCTGTGCCAGAAGAAAGAGGACGGGATGATGGGTGAGCAGGGCAAAGCCGGGCTGCCGGGCGTCCTGTGGCCTGGTACCAAGGACAGCGCCTATCCCTCCTTCCCCATGTTCTGGCCTGCTGCGGGCCCGCTGCCCTTGCCCCCATACGGGCAGACTCCACACAAACCACCCGCCGAACTGCTGTGTCCCACCAGACAGACAGAGGTGGACATTTCCGAAAGCAGCGACCGCAGCACCAACACGTCCAAAGACAGCGTGGTGGATACCGACCGCTGCTCCAGCACCCAGTCCATACGAAACGAAGACGACAAATCCGGGGACGAGGGAAGGCCCACCGGGGAGACAAGCCTCCCGACGCGGAAAATAAGCTACGTGTCCGCTTTCAGGCCGGTCATCAAAGACGCAGACTGCATCGCCAAACTTTACGGCAACAGAAGCGCCTACAACGGCTGTCGCACCGGTTATTTATCGCCTGATTTTTTAAGTGAGAGCTCGAGCTATCGGTCCGTGTCCCCGTGCGTGGACAGCGAGGGTGATCCGGACGTGGACGTGGAGACAAACAGAACGCCAGAGGAGCAGGACCATGGGCCTAGGAGTCCTATCGGTTTGGTGCGCAGCGTTTCACCGAAAGACTCCCCGAAAAGCGCAGAGAGCAGCCAGAATGAGGCGCAGAAACTGAGCCTGCAGGTGAGCCAGTCCTCAGACAGAGAGCTGCAGAGCAAACAACTATCACAACACCATATAGCTGCTCCGTTCACAGAGGTGAGTCGCTCTTAATCAAAAAAGTGCCAATAAGATGAGGAGTTTCTTGTATTTTTGCATGAAATAACTGTTTTCATGATAGGTAAATTTGTGTAAAAACAAAAACAAAATATTTATCTTAATTAAAAAGTAATCTATCACATTTTAATGTTTTTTTTTTTCATATTTCAGTTATAATATTTTCTCAAAACTTAGTTGTTTTTTTCCAGGTTTTCCCATCAGACAGAGCTGAGCTGCAACAAAGAAGCAGTCCGTATCACTTCAGACCAACAAATTATCTGACAGCGGTACTTTCAACTAACGGTATAAACAGTTTTTGTTCATCATTTCAGCGTTTATATATATATATATATATATATATATATATATATATATATATATATATATATATATA